AAAAAAAACCGAGAAAGAATGAAAGCGCATGAATATATCAAAAATGTAACAGGCATATAAGTGAGAAAACTTGCACTGCTTTGAGATAAATGTGATAAAATTGAGATAAAGATAAATTGATTGACTTAGATTGACTATTTTTCAGGCCTTCCATCTTCGATAAAGGAAAAAAGTGCGCTAAGTTGACCCAAGAAAAGAGGATATCGCAAGGCTTTCGTCTACAATTACAGAATGCGCCAACTTGTCTGTGGCTTATAGGTCAGAATATTTTCAGTTTTTGTCCAAGACTTATTACTACCATGAAGGCTTCTTACAAGCGCCACATCTGCTTCCCTAAACTTTCAAGAGTTTCCCAGAAAATGTCGCAGCTACATTACGCACCCTGGCCAAGAAGAATTTCTTTTTCCCCTTTCCCTCTGAAAGCTTTTGAAAAACACCAGTGATATGTTTATATTAATTTATTGGTTACAGTCACACTATATGCGCAGTCTCTTTATAGGATTATGCGTATCCAACAATTTCGATCAATACATCAGCCAACTTAAAAAGCTAGATTCAGCTTGGGCTTGTGGTCTCGGGGTATCAGACGTGGGGCTTCCACATTTAGCTTCTCAGATGTCTCCACCGTACTGGGTATTAATCTACTGACACCGCTAACCTGCACCTTTTTTTTCCAGAATAATCAGAAAACTGCTTGCGTCTTGCTCCGCTTTGAATCAAAAATCGACGAAAAACAAAGCCGGAGATTTGCAGAAATAGCTCCTCCGTTGACTCACCTATATGTGTCCTAGCCTGTCTATGATAATTGACGTATGAAGTAGTTGGTATAGGTATGCGAGCAGAATTTACAGTAGGAGGATTGAGCAACGACAATGCGGATACCGTCAGAGCACCGAGAGGATCGAAGAAAATAGTTTCGCGGCTAAATATGCTTCTTCTACTGCTTCTTCTATACCCTGAAAAACAACACTCACTTTTGTCGAAGTTTTTGACAGCACACATTGACATCAAGGGCTGGTTGTTCAACGGAGACAGTCAGCCACGAGTTCAACTCATCGAGAGGTAGCTGGCTGAGCAAAGAAGCGGGCGGATGCCGTCGAAGTTCTGAACAAGTGGATTATTAGATGATTTCCGAATTCTGAATAAT